TTTTTTTTTATAATATCGTGCGATTCTTATTTTACGTCTATAGTTCCATCAAGGAAAGACAAAAAGGGATGTGTTTCGTAAATTACACGTTTAACTTTTTTATTAATCACAGATGCTATACAATGATGGAAGGAGTAACGTAGACAATCTTTGTTTTACTGCAAGATTTTTTTATTCAATTTCTCTCCTGTATATAGCAATTATTCACGATTATTCTAGCTATTGAACCATATCCTATATAGAATGAGTGTAGTTATTGTTCTCGAATCACGTAACTCAATCTGAAAAGAGTAGTCATGATGAAAAATCCATCTTTAATCACTACAAACTTTTATTTGTTACAAAAATAGTAGAAAAATAAGGACAATCTCAATTCATATGATCTAATTTAATTAATGAGCTTATCCCGTTATTATCTGCTTATTCCAGTCAATTCCAAGTAGGATATAAATTCAATGCAGTAACAGGATATTGTAAAGTACTTTGACCATATAAATATGGACTGCTAGTAGCTCACTTCACTCGTGATGCCAATATTAATTTGAACAATGACGCTATCATGTCCCACGAACTAAAATGCGTGACGTCACGTGAGTTGAAGCGTGAGTGATTAGTCAGTGCATGGTTGCGTTTCGTTTCGCGCATTATGCGCACGGATTACATAGAAAACGTTCCCTTTCACTCAATTTGTGCATAAACAGCGCTTAGAATTCCCATCACCTGCAGCGCATAATGCACGCATTAGCCTCAAGTTCAAACTATAGCAACTTATGCGTTCTTCTTTCTATGCGATTGTATAATTGTATGTGGCGGTTGATGGCATTGTGAAAAGTGTTGAATTCTAGTTTTACATAAAAGTGTCAGTGAAGATATGGAAGAGACATTGTTAGAGTTCCCAGTCCCATTGAAGAAACGCAGAGCGTCATCACATTATTTCTTACTCAGGAAATAATTAATAAAGTTCAAACAATCATTAACATTTGGTCAAATATATTTGTAAGTTATATAGATTACAAACACAAGTAAATCATTTCTTACGAAAAAAGTTTTTTGAAAATAGCGAAAATACTCAATTAGGTTATTTTTTCGGTTTTTGAATTAATATTCCCATTACTTCCAAGAGCATTTTTAAAGGGATTATTTTTCTATTTATTCAATTATTGGCTGTAAATATAAATTATATTAGAAATACTGTTACAGATCAAAAGTTGCTGTAATCGCTCGTAAACAGAGTAAGCAGAATAATTCTACTGACTTCTCAAGTTCTTTAGAAATTAGTCAGCCTTCATCAGCATTGTCGAAGAAAATGATTGTTCGAATACAAAAGGATTTATATGGTGCTGCAGTATATTTACTATTAGAATTGTAGGGAGAAAGAATCCGATTTCAATTCGGGATCTAAAAGAAATGCTACTATTTGGGCTAAATTAGCAGAAAAAGTAAGAGAAAATTCCAACGGAAAATACGCTGTAACTGGGTTGCAATGCTTTGTAAAGATGTCTGGTCTTAAAAGGACATTTAAAAACATAAGCGATCAAAATAAAAAGAGTGGAAATTGTTGGAATACATAGGCCTTTTATTCGGTAAATCTGTTTCTTATTTCTGTAAATAATGTATTAGAAAATGAAATACAAATTTGATACTATTAATTTTATATGTAATCTATTTGAATTTTGTAAATAATTTTTTACATAATTGATTTATATAATTTAAGTAAATGCTTTTACACAATTATAATTTTGAAGGTGATAGACTTAATTTTTGGGAAAAAGGCTTTTGTGGTGCCACCTGCGATTGCATCAAGCGAAGGTCTAGTTAAGCCAACAAATGTGACAGAATCGGCAGTAGCAGAATCACCTTCATATTTTAATATATTTTTACTTCAAACGACTCATTTCTTCAAACTTTCATTTACCACTATTCAAATGGAACACAAAATGTAAATAAACCGAATATTACCGAGTCTACCCGAAATGAACCGATGTCAGACGAGTGCCTTGGGCATCGATCACGTACGTTTTCTCCTAGAACGAATCAGTGAAAAGTGACGAATCTCATGTGAATTCCATCATTTTGTGATCACGTAATTTTAATTCCGATGAAAGCGTGAGATATTTAGCGTGAAACTTTTCACTATCAGCTGACATAGTTAAACACGGTGAAAATCTAGTGTTTCTTAACCTACACAGGCTGCGTTTCGATATTCACTGTCAGTACTAAAAATCTATAATATACGTGATCTGAATTATATATTTTCAGTACTGACAGTGAATATCGGAACGCAACTTCCGTAATTGTGTGTCATAATGACATCATCTTGCTACTTGGGACATCATATTTTTATAGTATAATATTTATATTTTTAAATTACATTAACATACCGTTACATTTGCATTTATATATTTTATCTTTCCTTTTATATTCATTCCTTATTTTTCAATGCATTATTAATAGCATATTTCTAAATCATATTTCTTTTAAATATAAATTATTTTCAATATATTAATGAGTTAGAAAGAGAACAATAAAGAGGATAAAACGAAAATTCAGATAGCGATACGAGTTAACTTACTTATTTCAAGCATGCGCATTCTATTTTGACTAATTCTGACATCAAAAGTGCTGATAGAGAGTTGCGCTACTGTATATATTGGCTGCGTTCCGTAACTTATTGGAATGCTTGCATAGCACACTATAATGACGTCATACTGGCAGTACTGCGTGACATTCCGTTTTTACTAGTTCATTATCGCTGTGAAATTGTGGAAACGGAACGGGATTAAACAGTACTGCGTACAATAACTGCTAATATGATGCTGTCATATAATAATATAAGAAAATGGAAAAAGTTTTTATAATTAATAATATTGCACATATAATGGAATCAAGTAGTGATGAATCTAATAGTAACTCATATAATGAAAGAAATGTTAATAATATTAAAGAAAAGTAGATCAAATTTTATACCTAAAATATGTTGTAGAAGACGTAGTATCTCGATATACAAACAAAAATTTAAAACTCACTTTCGGTATATTTTATAA